AAAAAAAAAATCTAACTCTCACGAAATCCGCAAAAATTCGCAGAAATTTCCCCAAAAAATATCCAAAGAAATTCCCAAAAATAGCCCAAAAAAATTTGCAAAAAATACGCAAAAAAAATTCGCAAAAATCCCAAAAAAATCACAAAAATTCGTGGAAAATTGCAAAAAAATTTGCAAAGATTTGCAGAAATCCCCAAAATTGCCCAAAATTACCCAAAATTGCCCAAAATTGAGCCCCACCTGTTGAGGTGTGCGATGACGTATTTGAAAACCTCGTAATTCTCGCGAGGGAATTTCCTCAGGACGTCCCGGAGCGCGTGGAGCTTCTGGTCCCGGTCGTTGATTTCTGGGAATTTTGGGAGGAAAAACGGAAATTTTGGTAGAAAAAAATTTATTTTATTTTATTTTTTCATTTTAAAAAAAAGTTTTTAACCAAAATTCCCATTTTTTGAACCAAAATTCCCATTTTTTTTAACCAAAACCCCCCCAAATTCCCATTTTTTTTAACCGAAACCCCCCAAAATTCCCATTTTTTGAACCAAAATTCCCATTTTTTTTCTACCAAAACCCCCAAAATTCCCTTTTTTTTTAAACCAAAACCCCCGAAATTCCCATTTTTTGAACCAAAATTCCCGTTTGGGAATTAATGAGGAATTTGGGAGGAATTTGGGATGGATTTTGGGGTGGATTTTGGGATTTTGGCGTCCCCAAAACCCCGGGAACGGATTAATCACCAGTTAATGAGGAATTAACGAGGAATTAATGAGAAATTAATGAGGAACTCATCAGGAATTCAGGAGAAATTTGTAAGGAATCCAAGATGGATTTTGGGGTGGATTTTGGGGTGGATTTTGGGATTTTGGCGACCCCAAACCCCTGGGAACGGCAGGAACCAATTAATCACCAATTAACAAAGAATTAATGAGAAATTAATGAAGAATTAACCAGGAATTAATGACGAACTCATCAGGAATTCAGGATGGATTTTGGGGTGGATTTTGGGATGGATTTTGGGATTTTGGCGACCCCAAACCCCTGGGAATGGCAGGAACCAATTAATCACCAATTAACGAGGAATTAACGAGGAATTAATGAGAAATCAACGAGGATTCAATGAGGAATTAACGAGAAACTCATCAGGAATCCAGAATGGATTTTATGATTCTGACATCCCCAAAACCCTGGGAATGGATTAATCACCAATTAATGAGAAATTAATGAGGAATTAACAAGGAATTGAATTAACGAGGAAATCATCAGGAATTCAGGAGGAATTTGTGAGGAATCCAGGATGGATTTTGGGGTGGATTTTGGGATTTTGGTGTCCCCAAACCCCTGTGAACGGCAGGAACCAATTAATCACCAATTAACAAGGAATTAACCAGGAATTAATGAGATCAGGAATTCAGGAGGGATTCAGGAGGAATTTGTGAGGAATCCAGGATGGATTTTTGGGGTGGATTTTGGGATTTTGCCGTCCCCAAACCCCTGGGAATGGTGGGAACCAATTAATCACCAATTAACGAGGAATTAACGAGGAATTAACAAGGAATTGACAAGAAACTCATCAGGACTCCAGGATGGATTTTGGGGTGGATTTTGGGGTGGATTTTGGGATTTTGGTGACCCCAAACCCCTGGGAATGGTGGGAACCAATTACCAATTAATCACCAATTAAGGAGGAATTAATTAATGAGGAATGGACTCACTGTGGGCCTCCACCAGCTCCACCTGCATGGCGTAGGGCACCAACGGCTCCGGCAGCTCCGAGAAAAAACTTTTCATGGCCCCGGCCACGGTGTTGACGGTGAAATCCTTCTCGGCCAGGTCCAGCCCGTGATCTGGAGAGGGGAAAAATCCGTGGAAAAAAGTACATGGAAAAATATCCAGGGGAAAATATCCAGGGGAAAAAATCGAGGGGAAAAAAATCCAGGGGAAAAAGTACATGGAAAAAAGTACATGGAAAAATTACATGGGAAAAAGAATAGGGGAAAAAATCCAGGGAAAAATCCATGGGAAAAAGTACATGGGAAAAAGTACATGGGAAAAATACATGGAAAAAAATCCACGGGAAAAAATCCAAAATCCATGGAAAAATCCACAGGAAAAATCCATGGGGAAAAATCCAGGGCAAAAAATCCAGGGGGAAAAAATCCACGGGAAAAAATCCACGGGAAAAAATCCAGGGGGAAAAAATCCAGGGGGAAAAATCCAGGGGGAAAAATCCAGGGGGAAAAATCCACTGAAAAAATCAAAAATCAATGGAAAAAATCCACGGGAAAAAAATCCACGGGAATGCCCGAAGGAACCCCCAGATCCATCCCCTAAAAACCCTGGGAATGGGGAAAATTCCATGAAAAACTCAAGCGGGAAAAGAGGGAATTTCAGCCCCGGAATTTTGACGGAAAAGGAGTTTGGGATGGGGGGGATTTTTCCTGAGGGATTTTCAAATTCCCTGGAGAATTTGAAGGAATTGGATCAAAATTCCTGGAAAAAACGCTGGGAATTGGGGCAAAAAGTCCAGGAATTTTATGGATCAGGGCAAAATTCCAGCCTAAAAATCCCAAAAGCGGGAGATAAAAATCAAAAAATTTATGTTTTTTGTGATTTTGAGCGAAATCACGAAAAATTCGCTCCAAGGAAAAGGGGTCAAAAACGAGGTAAAACAGACTTTAAAAAAAACCTGGGAATTGTGGCAAAAAAATTGGGATTTTTAGGGTTCTGGAGGGAATTTTGGATGGATTTGGGGTGGGATTTTGGGGTTACCTTGGTCGAATTGGCGCTGCAAACTTTCCATCTCCGATTTGTTCCCGCTGACGCGATAAATCCCCTCCGTGCTCAAACCTGGGGGGAAAAAAAACACCCCCATAACCTCCTTAAAAAAATAATTTTTTCCCAAAAAAAAACCCAAAACCTCCTTAAAAAAAATAATTTTTGACCCCAAAAAAAAACCCCAAAAAAAATGTAAAAAATTCCGTAATAATTTTTCCCAAAAATGCTGGAATTGGCCCCAAACTGACCGGTGGCCTCGATGTATTCGATGCAGCGCTCGATGAAGATCGGGATCGGCCGTTCCGGGGTCACCACGTGGGTCAGGGGTACCCCAAAATAGCTGCTCTCCCACGGGGTCTTGGTCAGGGACGGACGCGCCTTCGGCTTTGGTTTCTGTGGAAAAACAAAAAAAAAAAAATTGGGAAAAATCCCCAAAAAAAATGACCCAAAAATTGCAGAGTTTGGGGTGGTTTTGGGGTGGTTTGGGTGATTTTGGGGTGGTTTTGGGGTGGTTTTAGGGTGGTTTGAGGGATTTTGGGCTGTTTTGGGTGATTGTGGGGTGATTTGGGTGATTTTGGGGTGATTTCGGTG